CCATTGGTAAAAGTTTTATATCAAACCATAAAATTTGTTCAAACTAATGTAATCAATTATGTAAAAGATTCTTTGAAATTTCCCCCCCTTAGTCTTTAAGTGGTTGTAAACCATTCTAGGTGGTAGGAAAGAGGCAAAACAAGGAAGAACAAGGACGAAAACACAAACAAAGATAACCATCCTCAAAGGGATAATACATGTGAAAGGTATATATATGACATCCAAAAATTTCCAAATTGCATTTTCAAATGAAAGTTGTTTAATCCTCACAATGCTTACTTCCCTTTCTTTAATGAATATGTCAGATTTCATTAAAGGTTTGCAATTTCCTAGTAAATACAACTGATTTTACATTGAGCATTATTAACAACTATAATCTTTTACTTCCTCATTTTTTTGGCCAGCTATTATTTACTTCCTCTGGTTCACGTGCACCTAGGCACCTAAAAGAATTATAAAGTAAATCATTTGATTAGATTGATGCATTCTGCATATTAAGCATTTAACTAAACATTACAGGATCAAAACAAATCCAAAAGACATATTATCATTAAATTACTATGATTTGCAAGCAGATTTTCTGACCAAATGAAGAATATCTTCCCCAAGCCAGAACTCAGAACCTAAACTTCCATAGGCACATCAATCATAAACAGCCTTACCCGGAGGGGAGTTTGAACAGAAAGCCTTTCCAACACAAAATTTTCCACAAAAGTATCAGACCTAGCATCTTCAATTCCAAATGCCATACTTTCACGTCCAGACAACAACAATGAGAATTTAGAACTCCATTGCTGACCAGAATTAACACAAGCAACAAAAGAGGCAATGTCGAGCTGATAGCATAATGAATCACAAAGTTGTTCCACACAAGATATCTGCCAAAAAAAAAAAAAAATTTGTGTTTCCATTTCTTTATACATAGGATCCCATAATATGGGATAACTGGTGTTGTGATGGCTTAGAAAACGAAAGTTACCTCATCTGATTGGTTCCCATAAAGAGATGATTCTTCCAACCGAAAAAACTGGGATTTGCTTGTCCAGAGGACTTGCATTAATTTCCTGCGGGTTGTTGTCTTACCAGACAGTAAATCCCAACCCATGACAGCTACAAGGGGTCGAAGCCGGGGAAACAATGTAAGAACCTGGCACAAAATGGATGAACACACCAAGTTCAAAGAAAAAGCTAGATATCAACACTAAAAATTACTGAAAAGGAAATATTAGTCCAAATAATAATGCACACCATAATTTTCAATATCAGCATTTTAATTAAACCAAAAACAAGGCACAAACATTTGTAGCTTCTTGAAGCTGCTCCTTTCTAATGGCAGACAGAGCAGTGTTAATGACGCATTCAAGTACATGTAGGCCAGAAACACGAGCATAATGGAAAATGTCTCTCAAGCAAGAATTCACTGCAACATTCAAGGATGAATTGCTGCCATTTAAATCTCCATCAGCTTTCAGTTCTGCTAAATATCTTTGAAAACACTCCAGAGGGGGTGGATTTTGGCTGTTATCAAGTGCTCTAAACCTCTTTATCTCTTCAATAAGCAACTCATCTTGAATAATCTGCAAGCAAGAACAATAGTTACATATAATCCTCAGGGATACACTATGCAATGCATTATTCAATCATTAGTACTTAAAACATTGTGAAAGAAACCAACAAAATCACATGAGAACTACCCAAACTCAGCCTTGGAATCCACAAAGTGGACTAGACCCATTCAAGCTATTTCAGGGAAACTAAAATTTAGTGCAAGGTAACCTATTTTAAGTTTAGATATGCCTTGAAAGAAAATTATATAAGCACAGCCAGAGCGCTCTATTTGACCAAATCTTGACATCTATAAAGCAGACCCCAAAATTATTTAGCAAACCATCATGGCTTCAACCATGTAATATGCACATCACAAACCGGATTTGAACTGGCTTCACCCTTCTGAAATCAGAATATCCACTAGGAAATTGTTGCAAACTAATCACAGTAGAAGAAAACAAAAGGGCACTACCTGAACCATTTGAACAAGATCCATGCAATTTGATGACAAAGCTTCTTCATAAATCCACAACAATTTCTGTTGGGTGGCATGCCAGGACCCTCCAAATCCTTCCTTTTCTGAAAAAAGCCTTTTAAGGAGATCTTGCAATGGTGTCCTATGAGAAATATATAATATAAAAATAAATAAATGGAAGAGAATAAACAGGAGATTACTATACAGTCACATTTCCTTAAGCCACAAAGAAAGAAAAAGGTCTCAGCGATGAATTCCAAATTTATTTGTAGCTATAGTAGAAACAAAATTTTAAATGATCCAGAAGAGTGTTAGCAACAGCAGAAAAAAATCATATGAACCTTTTTAACGTACTTCCTTCTGCTATCCACACAAATGCCAGACCACAATTCTTTGATTACATCATTTTGCCTTTTTTCCACAAGACTATCAAGTTACTCTTAACTAAATGAAATTCCCCAGAGATCTATTACAAGCCAGGAATGGTTAAAAATATTTAATGCAATGTTTGTGTTTAAATTAATGACTTCAATTTGTATCAGATATCACAAGAAAGGACTCTCTTGAGAAAACTATCAAAAAATCTTCATGCTCTTCAAATAGAACTCAGGATAGCAACATCTAATTTTTTAAAGTTCCATCCTTTTTCCTTTATTTTTTATTTTTCTTTATCAGAGTGTAAGCTATTAAACATGGAAAACATACCAACAATTTGTGCTACTACAGAACAAGTAGCCCTCGGCTGGCCTCAACTGACCACTAATTAGCTAGTCTCCTAATAAACAAATCCAATAAAGCCAAGAACAATGAAAAGTATTGACAGCACATTACAGTTCACATTGAAGCAAACCATCAAGAGTATTAACGGTACAGTACAGTTCAATGTTCATTATATTAATATAAACTCATTTACAGAATTTCATTACCTATTACTTATTAAAGAGGGAAAAAAAAAGGCTAGTTTTAAGAATAATCAACATACCTATACTCAGCCTCCTCCACTCCATAACCAAGATGGAGAAAACGAATATGACGAACAGCTCCTTCTATATCTCCTTCCCTCACACTTTCCCTCATTGCATCCAAGTGGACTACCTGAACAATCCTCCATATCAAACTAAACACCCTCTTATCTTCTTCCTCCCAACCTACCCCCGCCATTTCCTTACTTGTTGTAATTGCCATATTCAAATCAAACCCCTCCCACCCCTTCACTTGTTTCTGTATATTCTCACACAATGCATCAAAAACATCAGCATCCTCCAAAATTGCCGCCCTCAAAGATGTCATTTCTTCCTCCTCTATTGACACAGTACCAGACGCCTCCCTAGTCTCACCCCCACTGCCACCTTCACCGCTATTAACTACATCTGGCCTCAGTCTCTTGACACCCAACTCCAAACACCAGTCTAAAACCCGCATAGAATCTTGCAATTCACCATTTCCTTCTTTCAAACCATCGACTCGGTCTAACAACTGCGGTTTCTCCTCCTCAAAACCTCCACTCCCACTCGAAACTTCAATTTCCTTCTCTTTCTCAATCTTATCCAAATCAACATCCCTTCTCAACCTACTCGAGACCCTATCTATCAAAATCTGAACTAACAACAAGAATTCAGCTCGCAGACGCAATGTATCAGGATCAAAACTCCATATCGAACAAGAATTGTTAAATTGTAATAGCTCAAGCGTTGAGAGGTAGGTGAGAAGAGATGGAGAAGGACAAGAACGTGACCATAGGATGTTCTCAAATCGAGCGGAGTTGGCGACGATCGTCTGGAGCACTGCGAGAGCAAGATCCGAGTTCCTGGTGCGCAGAGCTAGGAGTGTAGCTCGCAAGGGCTCGAATTGTGCTAGGTGGAGGTGGTTCGCTGCTAGGCGCGAGAGCAGCTCCGTTTCTCTGTCCATTCCTGAATCGATTCTGGCAGAAAATTGTTTTCCGGCCCCGGATACTGGTTATGAATTCCAATTGATCATCTACTCTCATTGCATGAATATGCTTGCGCTCATGATTCAGATTGAAACTAAGATTTTCTTCGGCTTTTTTTTTATACAGATAAGATTTTCTTGCTTGTTTCGAGAGAAGAACGGTTTCTGGTTCCTGGAAATCGAGTTTGAACTGTGAACCCTCAAGAGAGTGCAAGTTGTGTAACTGTGAAGAAAATGGAGATGCTCCACTTGCGCAGAGGTACGGTGTAGCCGTGTAGGAAGGCAAGAGAAACGTGAATGAAATGGAGATTGTGATATACGGCGTCGTTTTACACAGCATCACACGTAGTGGGCCGTTTTGCCGTTTAGAAAAAGCAGTCCAATCCAATCCAGCACACTACAAATCCAGTTTTGGGAAAATAAGGCCCAATATTGTTGTAGTCTGACTTGGGCTTGTGTTCAGTGACCACCTAGCTGCAGAATGGTTCAACTACGTCTGGGCAAATGTCTAAAAGGAAGAAAACTCAAAACCTCAAGGGGGTATTGTCTTTTAGGTTTGTTTAAGTTTTAAATCTTGCTCACCCTATTTAAGGAAATTTTTTTTTAAATGCATCATATAAAAATTGCGTGCTTAAAATTGTTTAGAATAATATTAATTTTGAGGTGTTAGTCCAAAAGGATATTAGTCTTAAGGTGTTAGACCAAAAACACCTCACCTTCCAAACCAAAAATATTAAAAAAGGCAAGAAAACTCATTTGTGTTATCAAATACCATTTTGTTCAAATAAAAAATTCTTGTGAAATTTAGATGTATCAAATTACATAATAATAACCTTTAAATATAAAATAAATCTTTTAATATTAAAAAAATTTATTTAAAAATTTTTATTATATAATTTAATATAATCTAAATTTCATATCAAAAACTTAGTTTTCAAATACCATTGTGGGAAGTGGTCTCATCCTTTTCAAGAAACAATAAATGTCTACTCATTGCATTAAACTAATGATTAGATGCAGCAGCATCCTAGATATGAATGGGAACCTCCTCAAATTTATTTTTTTGGGTAATTTTCATTTTAATGAATTGTCTTTTGTTAAATCTTACTGTAATAATTTTAATTTTATAATTTGATATAATATGAATTATATTTTTTTAAAATTTTTTAATATGTTATTTTAAATTATTATTTTATATTTTAAATTATATTAATTACAAAATAAAAACTTTTAAATTAAAAACCCCTTTATCACATCTAAAATTTTTATTTTATATATAATAAAATACACTCCATACTGCAACCAAGTGTCTCTTTTTAGTATTTTGCCTTCCCTTTCTATTTGTTTTTTCAGTAGGGTAAAGGTCATTTAGGAGGGGGACAATCATAGGAAATCGATCTTGGCATTAACCCTACAAGGAAGCTAACCACGATTGGGTTGGCGGAGGTAAAAGTGCATTGGCGGGAAAATCCAAAACTTTTACCCTCCCATTTTCATTCTCCCCCTCCACAATTTGCCGCTTCGATTTACACTACTACCCGTGCTAGCTCTCTCTTCGTACCAATTGATCGGCGGTCGCCCAAAACCGACATCTTCAGTTAGCAAAGTCGCCGATGGAAGGGGAATACTACAACTCCGATTCCTGCGTCGTCATCGTGGACGATTTTTCCTTCGAATCCGAGGTCGCCAAGCTACGTGGCCGATGGGAGCTAGCCTCCGTTCTCAACTTCTTAAGCGTAAGATCGATAGCATATGTTTGAAAACGCACTTTTTCCATCCTTGATTATGGTGGGCATATTGATTAATCCTCTTCTTAGGTCTATAATCCTTTAGAAATTAATTGGCTTTAGCAATGCGGGATTTGGTTGGTTTTGAAATTGCAGAGTTAGCGGTTGAAATTGTTGTGTTTTGACAGGTTTTCGAGCCACTTATTGGGCGTGATTTGAGGCTATCGGCTGAGGAGATTGAGATGGGTCTTGTTAAGCCTAACAGGGCTATTGCGTTCCTTCATGTGACACTACTGAAGGTATTATGTTCTTTCACATTGATGAAAATGGGGGTTACGTTAAATTTTGATGTTATATTTTTCTGAAAATCTTTTTAAGTGAATGGTTCGTTGGATAATTTCTCTCATATCTATTTGATGCGCTAGCATGTGAAGGATAACATTGTTTTTTTTTTTTTTACTACGAGTTTAGGTGTGAGATAGGCTTGCCATTAGATTTAGCCTCTTATGGGAATTCATGTGACGTGTTTTTGTTCTTGCTTCTGTGTGTTTTTGTGGTGTTTTGTCACAAAATATTGCATCAGATCCAAGCTTTTGGTCTTTCCATAAGCTGAACACATACTTCCTCTTGTTGGTTTTTTGTAAATGGCAATGTACTAACGTGGGATTCCCATGGATTTTTTTCCTTTTTTGTACATCATGATTGATGTGTTAAAGATTATTATAGTTGGCCTATGGTTTTTTTTTTTTTTTAAAGCATCAGAGACTACTCTTTTTTCTTTTATTATTTACAAAATGGTCTTGATTTACCTGATTATTGACTATTGTTCTGTCATCTGGTTTTCCTTGGGTTTTATTGGTAATGTCTCATACAACCTGATACCTTGCCAGGGGATACCGCCTGTGAGTAAAACACTGTATGATTCTGATGCATGGGTGACTGTGCTTTGTAAGAAACTCACTGAGTGGTGGCCATGGGTAAGGCAAATTTAAGTCTTACTTACAAGTTAATATTCTCTTACTACCTTTGTTGTAATCTGGGTTACAATTCAGTTCATCTACTTATATGAACCTACCATTTCAGGTTGCTGGAGGGGAGATTCCACTGATTGCATCTAAGGGGTAAGTTTGTGATTTATATGCTTTTGGGCTAAATTTTATTATCATCAATGCTTTATCCTTAATATCAACTGAAACTTTAGCTGAGGCCACAACAACTGTCTGACCAATATTGTTCTTGCAGAGAGGAGATATCCAAGTACAAAGAACTTGATCCCATAAGTCGTTTAGTCATGCTAAAAGCACTTTGTGAAATCCGATCAGATGTAATTCATCTGACCTGCTAATATTTGTTGTTATCTGCTATTTTAGTTACTGGAACTGACAATTGAGTAATCATCTCGCTTTCTGATATCAATTCATCTTCTTCCATGTTGCATTTAAACAACACAGTTTGTTCTCCATAGTTGATTCTGCATGGAGTCTTAAGATGAGCAATTTTTTGGTTGAAGTAATTTTGTTTCCTTGTCAACTCTGACATAATGGATTCTACTGCTTTACAGCAATATGATGCCCTGTCATACATTAATGATGGTTTAAAACAAGGAAAGGAAGTTTCCTGTTTTTGTAAAGTGAAGATAGGGGGGAATGGAAATGGAACTTCATACTGGTAATGATTGTGAATGTTCTGATCATTTTTGTAAAATTTGCTGCTTGGTCAGTGCTACTAATTTCTTTGGTGATCATAATAGGTTTGATGGAAATACAACTACTGGTTATAGATTATACAAGGCAGTAAACTGTGACTTTGTGAAAAAAGAAAAGGGGAAAGCATGTTCAACACTGTCTGTCCATTTTGATTGGGAAACACTTGCTACCAATCTGGAGGAATTTCGTACAATTGGGGTAAGTTCATTATGCTTAACTTGCTTCTTGACTAGAAACTGTATGCTACATTTTTTTTACTGTGCTTTAAATGCCAGGATGAGCTCTCATCTAGCAAGATAGCAACTGAAGTTTCTATTGGAAAGGCTATTGAGACTTACATGATTCCTCTTGTTGAGAAATTACAGAAGGTATAGTTAAAGATGCCTTTGGTAACTGGTCACTGGGATTTGGGGAAGTATTGTAGCTATTCTGTGCTTCCGTTTTGCTTATTCTTTGTATTTGTAAACAAAATGTTTACTGTTCTTATTGTATAGAAGAAAGAAAGGGCACTGCAACAGAAGAAACGGGAAGAGATGCTCCTAAATGGGTTCAGAAGCTCCATTAGCAATCGGAGGAGTGCTCGTTTGTGTCGGAATCAGAGGCCAATTAGTTATACATTTGGTATGATGTAACATTGTTTGTTTATATTGCATTATCCAGTGGCATTGTTTCTTGGTAAATCTCCTAATTTAGCTCTTGGTTCAACGCATTCTCAGTCTGTCTAGTTTGCAAACAGCTTGGATGCTGGAAGGTTAAGTTCATCTGTCCTGCTTATGTTCTACATGTTCGGTTATTGATGAAAGTTGGAAGCATCAGCTTGCAACATGAAATAGTCTTGCAATTTCTATTGTAATTAAAAAATTTGTAGATATTTTTATTCTTTACCATTTTGGTTTCATTGATCAGTGAAAGAACCTGATATGGTGCTATAAGATCAGAGCAGGAACTTATAATTTTCTTCACTTCTGTGATTAAATTTATTTCTGAATCTACTTATGCATTAATGATAACCATGCTCCTAATTCGAGATTCAATTTGCAGATGAATATGACCGATCCATTGATGAGGCTATACGAATAACCAAGTAAGATTTGTCATATCTGACTATTTACTTTAATTTGTATAATCTTGGCAAGAATTTGTACATTGATTTGTCCTATCATATTTTAACACATTAATTGTGGGCATGAATGTGGTTATGTTTTCTCGTTCTTTTTCTCAGTCACCTATTTTTTACCTCTTCATCTAAATTGGTTAGATAGTATCTTATAGATACTAGAATTCAATATAACTAGTGGTTTCTGTTGTTATGGTGGAAATTCAGTTAAACTGGTGATTGAGGGAAATAAATACCTAATTGCCTTTCTTTTATGAATATCCACTTGCCCTTTGTTGGGATTTTGAAGTGCCAATTACCAAATTCATTTGCATTTGCCCAGTGGATGCACGTCCATATGTTTTTTCTCACTCAGCTTGTTCCCTTAGTAGCCATCACTACTTGCTTACCTGCAACCCCTTGCCAATTTTTATGACTAATTTGCTTCTCACTAATTTCATATATAAACATTGGATTCAGGAAAAGAAAGAATGAAGAGCAGAGCCAGGGAAAGAAGCATATGCAGGAAAGGAATGACTGTAATGGAGGTTCAGCCATGGATGCAACCTTGAAAGACAGTTCTGGTAGGAAAAGTGATTCAATGTCGGGCGACTCTGAAAGCAACAAACTTCAAGAAGAGCTCAATGATGAAGATGGGGAAGACGATGATTATGATGGCAAGAATGAAAATGATAGTTACTCTGGAAATTCCAGTGATGAAAAGAACAATCCTAATAACAGAAACCATGCAAATTTCTGTCCCCAGAAGCCTAAGGGGTTGCGCTGGAGTAAGAGATTGGCTGGAGTTACTCTTCCTGCCCCAGAAACCAGTACCTTGACTACAAAGAATAGATTGAGGCAAAGGCCAGTACTTAACTCTGCTATTAACCTTATTGTCCCTGATTCGGAAGATGAGATTGCTGAAAATTCTTCAGGTGATTCTGATCAGATAGAGGTCAGTGAAAGCTAAAAACTTTTAGAAGTAACCATATTTGCATAGTCACTATGTATATGCTCATACTAGTCCTCAAATTTTTTGTTGTAGCGAGGAAATTACAGCATCATTTTGTATAGTTGCGTAGAAGCATGTACCCAATGTTATATTTTTGGATGACTTTAAAGTAACTTCAATATCTTTGGTTCCTCTCGAAAGGAATACCCAGGGATGAAGTCAGGAAATTATCTTATGGAACTAATTGTAGTTCTTGTAGTTTTAAAGGCATTAGTTTATTTTCTTCTGAATTTTCTTTTCTTTTCTCTAAAAAATTAATTGTGACGGTCTTTCCAATTAATTTATTAAAAAAAATAAACACATTTATCAAAAGTAGAAAACAAAAACATTATAATAGTAACTTCTAATTTTTTTTTAATAAATGAATCCTAGCCTAAAGTTAACTAAAGTTACTATCTTAACTAAAGTTAACTGAGACACTACAAGTTCAAACTTAGAGTGGATTACATCCCTGGCAGATAGAATTCCGTAACTACATCTACATAAACCATTAATATATCCCCATGGCAGTTCCTCACTTCCTCTCATTAAGCTCCATGTAACAAGTCAGAAGCTCTTCCAAGTACTCCCAGTCAACCACCATCCTCTTCTCTAATCTGTACTTCAATATCTCCGTCATAGCCTGCCGGAACCGGACGTACGGGTCCGTTGAATACGCCATCACCATCACGGAATCTCCGAGGATCCTGACACCCTGGTTGCATTCATCAAGTTTAGTGGTCTTCTCGTTGCTCTGGCCGCACTCGTTTTCCTGGACATGGTATGTTATGGTTCCAGGAGGGTTGCGAAAACATGCAAGGGGACTGCATGAAATGGAACTTTGAGAATTTTTAGGCATTCTAAAGAGTTTTATGTACCATAGTATACTTCTAATGAAATGGAGTCTAATGAGAATTGACAAGACCAAGATGGTTGAATTGATATATACAGATAATAGAGAAGGGAGTTAATAAATTAGAGATCATTACCTTGATTTTTCAGTATCTCCACCTTGCTAAAGAAGGCAATGAATTAAATAAAGATACATTTCAAGAAAATTCATGTAGATCTCGACGGATTTGATTTTCAATTTATATTGCCGCTGTTTTTATTTACTTGTTGGCACTTACTAAATTAAAGTGTTTGTATATAATTGTCTTATTTTTTATTTTTAAAAGTGATTAAATGCTTTTATTTTAAAATTAAATTTATTCTTATCAATAATTTAAATAATTTAATAGTAATTTTTTTGTTAAAAATAAAAAAATATTAAATTTAAATCATATGATATACGATGTAAGAAATAAAAAAAATTATTTTTTATTATCCAACCAATATATATATATAAGAAAAGTCAAACATATTACTCTAATCAACAAGTTAATATATTCAGAGTGTTCTTCTGCAATATAGTTACTCGAATGAGTCTCACTATTGTATTATTTACACAATATATTATTGGATTGTAATAATGGTTTTGAGTAATGTAATAATTGCATTATTTAGTATCACGATAACCAAGGTTTTATAGTTAAAATAACCTTATTATGTATAAATAATTTATTTTATATAATTAATTAGTCTCTTTATTTTATACTTAACAAATTGCTATTGAATTACAGATATAAAAAAACGTTTAGATTCAACTAATGATAGTATTAATTATTAGTCACTTATATGGATAATATGAACGAAAAATCATTTATTTCTGGTATTAAATCAAAGTATTCAAAAATAATATTGAATTTTAATTAAAGTCAAGTTAAATTAAACTCAAAAAATTCTTCTAATATTTATTTTTTTATTTATATGATTTAAATTCAAAATTTTACTTAAAAGAAGCAAAAAAAATTTTTTCTATCCAGAGCAATGAAACGCTAAAGGAAAAATCATTTGTTACAACTGTTGAATAATGGTGAAGGTGGTTTTGCGTTTTACCGAGAAGC